ATAAGCATTAGCACATCTCATTTCCATGGAGAATATTTGGTCCTTACCCCTCAGTCATGGTCTATTGACTTTGAAACTTTTGCTTAGTTTACATGTATTGGTTTGTGATTAGGTCAGTTCAAGATGAACCACTAATGTTAAGTCAATGATATTCGGTATGCAAATGTATTGGCATTTGCAAGTTTCATTTCCATGGAGATTATATAACCCACCCCCTAATTATGGTTCATTGACTTTGAAACTTTTACATAGACTTAGTTTACAAGTTAATGTTTGTGTATAGGTTTGTTTAAAGGGAACGACTTATGAAAAGTCAATGGTATTTGGTTTGCAGTTGTATTAAAATTGAGAATGGAAATGGGGAATGTGTCAAAGAGACAACGACCCGACCATAGAGCAGAAAACTCCCGCACCCGGAGGCGTCCTTCAGCTGGCCCCTAAACAAATATGTATACTAGTTCAGTGATAATGGACGTCATACTAAACTCCAAATTATACACAGGAAACTAAAATTAAAAATGATACAAGACTAACAAAGGCCAGAGGCTCCTGACTTGGGACAGGCGCAAAAATGCGGCGGGGTTAAACATGTTTTTTGAGATCTCAACCCTCCCCCTATACCTCTAGCCAATGTAGTAAAAACAAACACACAACAGTACGCACAGTAAAACTCAGTATAAGAGAAGTCCGAGTCCGATGTCAGAATAGGAAACAAAAGAAAATAAACAAAATGACAATAATACATAAATAACAACAGACTACTAGCAGTTATACTGACATGTAGTATGATGTATTAGCATTGGCACATCTCATTTCCATGGAGATTGTTTAGCCCTGTATCTTTAGTCATGGTTCATTGACTTTGAATATTTGCATAACTTACATGTTAAAGTATTGCTATTTTAATTTCAACATTTGCATTATCAAAATAACAAATAGGCGAGACATATCTCTGTGTTAACAGTTTATGTTCCTTAAGATTTCAGTGTTTTATTTTAAAAGGCAAACATGAAACCCAAGATATCAAATTCTTTCAGTATGATGTTAGGATTTTGTTCACAGTGGCCAGGGCATATAACTTTACAATTGACTTTCATTGGATAATTTGTCTAATAGATTTGTTTGACATATAGGGTTGCAGATATTAAAAATGAGGAGATGTGGTATGAGGCCAATGAGACTATTCACCAAATAATGTTAGATGTTGTAAGCAGCTATAGATCACCGTATATATGGCCATCAATGAGGAGCAAAAATCATACCCTATAGTGACTCACTATAAAAGACATTACGTATATGAAACAATGCAAACAATAACAATTTATATGATTCAAACAAATCAATTACCCATGTATGTCATACTGTATAGCGGGTTATTTTTGCGGGTGTAAAATTTCGTGATCGAATAAGGTATACAAAATATTTTGGTGATTATTATTTTGGCAGATTCAAATCTTTTATACAATACCATTGCATGTGCACTTTTAAACTGGCGGAATTTATTTTGGCGGTTTTGTTCTATTCACGGAAATAAGTGAAAATAACTGGCTATACAGTATATTATTCAAACTGTTTGCTCCTATTTTTGTTATGCCAACATATATCAGGCATATATTAAATCTAATATTTGTTAAATAAAGTACATAATAACAACTTACTAAGAGTTTCATTCCAGTTGTCCGACTTTTATAATCAGGCTGATGGTTTCCTCATTTGATTTGTTTTACATGTTACTTTTGGGCCTTTTATAGCTTGCTTTACAGTATGGGATTTGCTCATTGTTGAAGGCTGTACAGTGACCTATAGTTGCTTACATCCATGTCATTTCGTCTCTGGTGGAGAGTTTGTCTCAATGGAAATCATACCACATCTTATCAGGTCAGAGGACACAGTAATCGTCCTTTGATTTTCATATAGTCCCAAGTGTGGGCTGTATATACTTGTAATTTTCTTTTATATTTTACTCATGAAATATTAAGTTGGGTGATGAATTTATATGTAAAGTAGAGATTTGGTCCTGTTAAAAAAGATAAAACAAGAATGTGTCCATAGTACACGGAGGCCCACTTGCACTATCATTTTCTATCTTCAGTGGACCGTGAAATTGAGGTCAAAACTCTAATTTGGCATTAAAATTAGAAAGATCATATCATAGGGAACATGTGTACTAAGTTTCAAGCTGATTGGACTTCAACTTCATCAAAAACTTCCTTTACCAAAAACTTCAAACTGAAGTGGGACAGACGGACAAACAGACAGACTGACGAATGAACAGAAGCACAGACCAAAAAACATAATGCCCCTCTACTATCGTAGGTGGGGCATAAAAAATTAGCATGTCTGAAGCTGTCAAACTGAATTATAGACCCATGTTTTGAATTCGAGCTGGTAGATTTTTTTTATAATTTTGATTTTATTTGTCCCAAAAGTAGTACACTACACTATAATAAACTGTTAACACAGAGATATGTCTCGCCTATTTGTTATTTTGATAATGCAAATGTTGAAATTAAAATAACAATACTTTAACATGTAAGTTATGCAAATATTCAAAGTCAATGAACCATGACTAAAGGTACAGGGCAAAACCATCTCCATGGAAATGAGATGTGCCAATGCTAATACATGTACAACTGCATACCATATACTACTGACTTTTCATAAGTCGTTCCCTTTAAAGAAACCTGAACACAAACATTAACTTGTAAACTAAGCAAACGTTTCAAAGTCAATAGACCATGACTGAAGGGGCAGGTCCAAATAATCTCCATGGAAATGAGATATGCCAATGTTTATACAACTGCATACCAAATATCATTGAACTACCACTAGTGGTTCCCCATAAACTGATCTAATCACAAACTAATACATGAAAACTAAGCAAAATTTTCAAAGTCAATAGACCATGACTGAAGGGGCTGGGCCAAATTATCTCCATGGAAATGAGATATGCCAATGCTTATACAACTGCATACCAAATATCATTGAATTACCACTAGTGGTTCCCCATTAACTGAATTAATCACAAACTAATACATGAAAACTAAGCAAAAGTTTCAAAGTCAATAGACCATGACTGAAGGGGCAGGGCCAAATAATCTCCATGGAAATGAGATATGCCAATGCTTGTACAACTGCATGCCAAATATCATTGACCTGCCACTAGTGGTTCCCATTAAATTGACCGAATCACAAACTAATACATGAAAACTAAGCAAAGTTTCAAAGTCAATAAACCATGACTGAGGGGGCAGGGCCAAATAATCTCCATGGTAATGAGATGTGCCAATGCTAATTCAACTGCATACCAAATATCATTGACGTACCACTAGTGGTTCACCATAAACTAGCCCTAATCACAAACTAATACATTGTTGACGCCGCCGCTGCTGCCATCACCGATGCAGGAAACAGCATACCTATGTCTCGCTTTTTGACTCCATCAAGGCGAGACAAAAATCATTTCGAGACAGAGCAGGTGCAATTTTTTTAATTTGAATTTATTGTCTGAAAGAAATGAAATAACTGTGCTCTCGGGCCATTATTATATTATTATTTTGTACAATTGCAACCTTTGGATTTAGAAAATTTTGATTTTGTAATGCTTGCAGTTTTAGGGCTGATTTTTTGTACAAAATTGTTTAAGGGTAACTTACAGATCCCGTTTGTTGACTTCTCACAATAAGGATGCAGTATATGTGTCAGACCAACACATCCATTTTCTTCATGCCTGCCAATAATGTTAAATTACTTTGGAAAGGCACAAAATGAGATGTGTGGTATACATCAATGAGACAACTAACCAACAATGAATAATCTAAAAGATATCTCATTGTCAATAGTCAGTCTTCAGGCAGGAATTAAACATTAACAATAAATCATTCAATAAATCAGGCAGGTATTTATACAATATGCCAACCTCTTTTGATAACAGATAGGTAAATGGATGATCTCATGGAATATTATGAAATATTGCATGCAACTAGAGCATGAGCAGACCTGCCAACTATACTGATTTAAATCCTCTTGCGCTTAAAATCCCCCATGGAGATTTTGAAAAGTTGGCAGGTATGCATGAGGAGCTGCACATAAACATAGAAAAATATGATTACATAACTTTTATACTTGAAGAGATATAGTAAATTGAATATTCTGTAGAAAGAAGTAAAAATGTATAGGATGCAAGTAAATATACCAGAAAATTTTGAATTTGATTTTTTTTTAAATTGCCTTTTCTGAAAATCGTGTCCTACAAATTTTTGTATATCTCCGAAAGTTTAAAAAGTTACTATGGGCTGTTCCAAAATTGATTGTGGTGGGATGGATGGGATGCCCCTATATAAATTAATTGTGCCTTTGCATTCAAGTATAAGTAAATGAAAATTTTTTATTATGATTCATTGAAGCTTTAAGGTGCAATCCATGCCCCCCCCAACCTTTATATACTTTATTTCGTATATCTTTTGCTTTGTTTCTTATATTATTAGATTGCTCCTATATTTCTTAGTTTTGTTTCCCCGATATTATTGGTTTGTTTTTATATTTCTTGCTTTGTTTTTCTATATTATTGGTTTGTTCCTATATTTCTTAGTTTTGTTTCCCGATATTATTGGTTTGTTCCTCTATTTCTTGCTTTGTTTCCTGATATTATTGGTTTGTTCCTCTATTTCTTGCTTTGTTTCCCAATATTATTAGTTTGTTCCTCTATTTCTTGCTTTGTTTCCTGATATTAGCGGTTTGTTCCGATATTTCTTGCTTTGTTTCCCGATATTATTGGTTTGTTCCTATATTTCTTGCTTTGTTTCCTGATATTATTGGTTTGTTCCTCTATTTTTTGCTTGGTTTCCTGATATTATCAGTTTGTTCCTATATTTCTTGCTTTGTTTCCTAATATTATTGGTACTTTATGTATAATGGTAGTGGTTTTCAGGATGTGAATTTTGTACCTGGTGAGAGATTTATTGCCCTTTTTGCATTAAAATAATATTAAACTTAATTCATTTTCTTGGTTTTTTTTTATTATTTCTATCTTTATATTTACAAATTGCACATAGTTTTATCTCTGTCAAATCACATCCATCATTCTCTCACTTCTCTCATTCCATAGATAATTTAAGTCTGTTTCACACAAATGCTTAAAAAGCAATGATGAAACTGCCTATAACAAGCACATAAATGATTCAAAGAGTTATCTCCCTTGACCTCTTAACTACTGGTATCAAATTGAGATTTTATGCTTACAAATTGGGTGTACTTAAATACATGACATTATACATGTACATCGTCCTGAACATGCATGAAACATTTGCCACTGGCCATTATGCAACCAACAACCAACGAACATATACATGTATGCTGGTGTTTTAACTCTATTTACTTACCAACATTTAAACAGGTATAACTACTAAAGCAGGAATTGCATACCCTTTCACCAAAATAAATCACAAGATTGATAATAGTAAATTTTAAAATATTCTAATATATTTTATATCCTTCCTTTGAAGTTTAACAATAAAGTACTATTTTTATACCTATAATTACATCAAAGACCAGATGTGGATCTAGGATTTTGAAAAAAGGAGGGCCTCCACACTAGGCAACAATTGGAGTGTGACATGTAAAAAGACTATGCATTAACAATGGCTCCATAAGGGGGCGGGCCTCTCCCCCCCCACCCCTTCCCCCTCTGAAAAAAAAAATCTGTCTCTGAGAACCAACAGAGTATGCAGAAGCCAATAATGAAAAACATATTGATACTGTCTGACCAATTAGAATTGGTGTTGCAAAAATATTACATTTGAACCCAAGATAAATAACTTTTCAATTTCTATATGTCCATGATAAATATACATAATGATTAATGGATCTGTACATCATACAACATTCAGACTTTCATACATCACTCACAAAACACATTTCTCCATGTTTATAACACAAATTTCAATAGTACAATACAATTCATGTCTATTCTGACTCTGACCCAGATTTATTTTTCTCTGACTCACTACCACTCTGCTTGCCACCGCCACCACTTCCTGCTTCACTTTCCTCATCAGATTCTACAATTCTGGCTTTCTTCTTTTTATGTCCTGTATCAGAATCTGAATCCTACAAAATAATAAAGAGATCACAGATTTATTCTTAAAAAGAAGCTAGGAGCATGCTACCAGGATGTAAGGAGCTTTTTAAGTTGGCTCTTCACAGCAATCCATGTAACACCCATTAAGACAAGTTGGATATGTCAATCCATTATATCAAAAGGAAAGTAAAGCATTGTAGAGGAAGCTCAAGATATACACAGCCATTTTTACAACATGTATAAAAACAAACTATCTTTATTTCAAACATAAATAAATGTGGATAGTGTCCACATGTGATGCCCCTGCTTGCATATCATATAGTTATAAAGGAACATAACTGAAGAACGGTAAAAGTGACGCTACCCAAATTTGAACTTGATCTGAGTTTTGTGGAAATAAGCATTGTGTGTAAGTCTCATAACATTTGGTTGAGGCTAACTTAAGTAGAGAACAGAAACTAAAAATTCAGCAATTTTTCTATTTGTAAACACACGGACAAGGGTAAAACTTAATGCCCCCACCGCTACGGCGGGTGCATAATCAAAGCGATGTAAGCGCTGTAGGCAGTTAACCAAAAACCAAGGCAAACGTACTAAAGTAATTATGAAAACTGTGGCAGTGTTGCTTCAATTTTTTTAAGATTTGAAAGAACAAACATTAAACATTCGTATATTGTACATTTATGTTCATTAAATAAATTGATTATTAAGGCAAATTAATTAATATTTCATCAAGGTTTTCAAAAGCAACTCATATATCAATGTAAATGACCCCCATCTTCACCCCCAAGTGCATGATGTTACTCCATACCAAGTTTGGAATAAAATGACAGGTGATTATAAAACAGTTGGTCAAACATTCTTAGGCTTTACACTGCTTGAAAGATTTATATGTTTTCTTTAAAATGGGCCATAAATGAAAATTATTATAGGCCCAGAAATAATTGAATAAATAATTAAAGTAAATTCAATTAACCTAGACTCATTTTTTGCATCAATAAAATTTTATAATAAACAAGAAATAATTGTAACAGGATGTCATTAGGAAGTCTCCCAAACAAAGCCCCCATATTTCGTCATTCCCATGGTCTCCTGACATTGGGCAAAGTCCAGTTCATATTGGTTTAGTCTAGTAAAGTGATATGCATATGTGACACCTAGGAGACTGATCCTGTATGTCATTCAAATCTTTTTGAAATGATGAACAGGAATAAATATGGTTTAGGTGTGGGTATCTCGACCGTTTACAAGTTCTCAAACAGGAGGGGGTGGGGTGTCCCCATGGACTCCCCCTATATTTCATTTGATTTGTTTTATTGTCCCATACATGAATATATATGGTTTAGGGGTGGGGATCTCGACCATTTCAAAGTTTTCAAACAGGAGGGGGTGGGGTGACCCGAGGAACTCTCCATATATATTTCTTTTGATTTGTTATATTGTCCCATACAAGAATATATATGGTTAAGGGGTGGGGATCTTGACTGTTTACAAGTTCTCAAACAGGAGGGGGTGGGGTGACCCCAGGGAATCCCCCTATATTTCATTTGATTTGTTATATTGTCCCATACATGAATACATATGGTTTAGGGGTGGGGATCTCGACCATTTCCAAGTTTTCAAACAGGATGGGGTGGGGTGACCCGAGGAACTCCCCATATATTTCAATTGATTTGTTATATTGTCCCATACATGAATATATATGGTTTAGGGGTAGGGATCTTGACTGTTTACAAGTTCTCAAACAGGAGGGGGTGGGGTGTCCCGAGGGACTCCCCCTATATTTCATTTGATTTGTTTTATTGTCCCATACATGAATGTATATGGTTTAGGGGTGGGGATCTCAACCATTTCCAAGTTCTCAAACAGGAGGGGAATGGGGTGACCCCAGGGACTCCCCATATATTTCATTTGATTTGTTATATTGTCCCATACATGAATATATATGGTTTAGGGGTGGGGATCTCGACTGTTTACAAGTTCTCAAACAGGAGGGGGTAGGGTGACCCGAGGAACTCTCCATATATTTCATTTGATTTGTTTTATTGTCCCATACATGAATATATATGGTTAAGGGATGGGGATCGTGACCATTTCCAAGTTCTCAAACAGGAGGAGGTGGGACGACACCGGGGACTCCCTCAAATTATTTTCATTTGATTTCTTTTATTGTCCCTTACAAGTATATATATTGTTTAGGGGTGGGGATCGCGACGGTTTACAAGATAAATGTACATTTTCAAATTGAATGGGGTTGGGATGACCCCCAGGGACTTACCCTATATTTTGGTTGATTTTTTTTATTGTCCTGTTCTCATTACTGAAGACTGCATGTGTCTATCACTTACTGTTTTCGAGAAATAGTCATTTGAAAATTTAAAAAAATAAAATCCCATAGGGTTCTATAGTAAACCCCTCCCTTCTTCAGGCCCCTCCAAATACCCCTAAATAGACCCCAATGCACAAACAAAAGATTAATGGCTCCGCTAGACATGTAGTCTAATATTTTATGAAACCCCAAGTATATCTGACAAACGGTCAAAGTTGTCTTCTTAGACGGTTTGAGTTGATTCGGTCCGACTTGTCTCGGGGACGAGTTGTCCACATTACTTAAAACATCCCATCGACGTCGATTTCCGCGTCTGTTCCATGACCTCGTTTCATTCATAAAATAACAACCACCTTATTTGGCAAGATAAGTTAAAAATTACCGCCCACTTATATACCTTTATTTCCTTTATCATAGAGATTTGTTGTACATGAACAATATTCCTGCGCATTTTGCCATTTGGGAAATATAAACGACTTCTAATTACCGATTTTCGGCGATGAAATATTTCATACAATTGTTCTTTGACATCGTAGCCAAAAGCACAGGGGATAATAAACTACGTACGGATTTCTATTGAGCACTACTTCCTATGTGCAACTTCAACAGTTTTGGGTAGTTCGACGATCATTTAAGGTTTTTCTGGTCATATTTTTTGTATTCCAGAAATAAAAGTATTAAAAAAATGTCCAATTAGTTATAAATAACATAATAGCCAGCTAGATAATAACAATGGCCCGTATTTCAGCATTTATTGATTAGAACACAAATCTAGGGTGCTCGCATAAGGCAGCTTAACTGCCTAAAAATAAGAAAAGAGCCTACTGATTTTATTGTTGGTATCTATTATAAATGTGTTTTTAAAAGTTTTGTTTGATTGATTGATTGATTGGTTGCTGTTTAACGCCACTTTCAACCCTTATGTGCTAATTCGGGGCAGTCAGTTTTTATTGGTGGAGGAAGCCACCTCCCTTCGGTAGGAAAACTGACAATCCTAGTCAATTAAAATTGGTGTAGAGTGCACCTGACCCGTGTGGGATTTGAACACACAACCTTAGTGTTGACAGGCTAGTGATACAGTAGTTCAACTACTTAAAACCACTCGGCCATGGAGGCCCCTTTTAAGTTTTGAGTTCAACCTTACATAAATTTAATACAAAATTTTTTAATTTGTGCATGCATCGAGGTAACACAATTCTTATTCCTAAGAAATCCTCTATACACTGTTGATTCATTTATTTTCTCATGAAAGTTTCACAGGCTTCCACTTTGTTTAAATTATTTCAAAAGCTTCCTTATAACTTACATCCTCCACTGGACCTTTCTTAGCCTTCATCAGCCTCTGTGCTCCAGATCGTTCCTTGTCAGAATCATAAGAATCACTATCACTTGAGTAAATGTCTGGTATATTAGGGCGGTCTGAAAAAAAATCAAATAACATATTATTTAATATAATACCCATAAAGTCTTAAAAAGGATTTGTACCCTACAATTAATAACAAATTCTGACATGAAACTGATGAAAGTGATTTATAAGTTTCACTAAAAACAATTATTTGAGGGTCAACATCGGTTTTAAGTGGAGTGATCTGTGAATGGCTAAACAATTCAGAAATATTTTGTACATGGTGGGGCAATTAAGACAATTCTTCGAATGATTGGGAGGTTCATAATTTTTTTTTTAATTATCATTCAAACTACAAAATTTAGTTGATGTTAGGATAATTTATTAACTTTTTAAGGATGTCCGAAATTTTAGCTTCTCGAAAAGATTTGACCTCTGATCTACCTCCCACATTTATGTAAACATTTTTTTTATGGCTATCTACCTAGCACATTCATGTAAAACATTTTATAGATATCTACCTTGCATATTTATGTAAACATTTTATGGCTATCTACCTCGCACATTTATGACCTACCTCTAGCATTTTTGTAATGTTTTTTAATGGCTGCTATGGAGATATCCCCTTCTTCCTCTTCATCCCCACTTTCTAGGTAACCACCAGAGAGACCCTTAGCAACATGTCTTTCTTTTTGTCTTTTCCTCGTTCCTTCCATTCTAATGGCTGCTCTCAGCTTTTCTTCCTCTTTCTGTAAAATATGACTCAACTTTAGTTTTGACAAGGCCAACATTTTATACTGACCAACAAATTCAAAAATAAGAAAAAATGATTAGTGAAATGTACAAAATGAAGCAGCAAAATCTATTGTGTTTTAGTTTGACCTAGATAGGCAAAGGAGAAGGTTTGTGGGCGTGTATAACCCTATTGTCTGTACCTAGTCAGGATATCTACAAGGGTGTGGATGGGGGTTTACAGAATAGAGAATAATGGGCAAAAAATATAAAAAATAGAGAAAAATGGACCAAAAAAATAAAGAATAGAGAAAAGAAGAGACCCCCCATCCAGACCCTCATCATGTGTTGGTTGCATTTGTCTGTTATTGAGAGGAGTGGATTGTTGATGTGGTCTGTTGTACTGCTACCTATTAATTATGTATGATACTTGCAAATAGGATTACAAGGAAAGCTGAAAGGAATAGAACAAGAGGAATTCACGAATGCACCTCCTTCTGCATGATCTCGGTAGCAAACGGGTTCTGATTTTCATTTTTACTTCAATACTAAACACATATATTTTTCATCATGATTATATTTTTAGTTATTAACCATTGTTAAAATTGATGCAAATGACGATTTCGTGCAAAAATAAAGTAACAGCTAACTGCGTTACACAGGTGAATGCTGAAACAAATTAAATTATATAGAGAAACCGTTTGGGAGGGTCTGAGAGTGACTGTTAGAGGAAGGTAACCGCTGAAACGAATTTACCATTCAGACAGGTTTGACTGTTTCTTAAAGATATGATTTGTAAAAAGCACCACAAACTGACAAAGATAAAAATAGTTTATCGACCAAGAAATGTTCTCTACAAAAATTTTCAATGTGCGGCAAAAACAGAAACAAGGAAATTTACGTAAACATCCTATATTTTAGCAACAAGCTAACCAATAAAAAAATATCAATTTGGAATATCCTAAACTTCCAGTAGAATGTATATGGTGATCCATAAGGTAATTATCTATTTTTAAAGAATATGCTCCTGTAGGATTCCAAGCTCTGCTGACTGTCACATTTCCAGCTACAGTAAACTATGAGATCTGGATCAAAACTCTAATTTGGACAATATTCATCATAATAATGATCTTTTAGCTTATATTTACATTTGATGGTTTAATAGCCACTACCTCTATATATATACCTTTATCATTTCTATTCTGTTAGCATTATATTTACATTTTTAGGACAATAGCCACTACCTCTATATATGTACCTTATCATTTCTGTTCTGTTAGCATCATATTTACATTTGATGGGATAATAGCCACTACCTCTATATATGTACCTTTATCATTTCTGTTCTGTTAGCATCATATTTACATTTGATGGGATAATAGCCACTACCTCTATATATATACCTCTATCATTTTTATTCTGTTAGCATTATATTTACATTTTTAGGACAATAGCCACTACCTCTATATATGTACCTTTATCATTTCTGTTCTGTTAGCATCATATTTACATTTGATGGGATAATAGCCACTACCTCTATATATATACCTCTATCATTTCTATTCTGTTAGCATTATATTTACATTTTTAGGACAATAGCCACTACCTCTATATATGTACCTTTATCATTTCTGTTCTGTTAGCATCATATTTACATTTGATGGGATAATAGCCACTACCTCTATATATATACCTTTATCATTTCTGTTCTGTTGGCATTATATTAACATTTGATGGTATAATAGCCACTACACCTCTAAATATGTACCTTTATCATTTCTGTTTTGTTAGCATCATATTTATATTTGACGGGATAAGAGCCACTACTTCTAAATATGTACCTTTATCATTTCTGTTCTGTTAGCATCAGGATCTTTGCCGTGAATGGGTAATACTTTGACCTTTTGTGCTTTTGTTGATCTGTCTGCTAATGACAATGTCATTTTTCTGTGGGTGAAGGATTCTGTAGAATGTGGTCTGTGGAAAAAAAATAAGTATAAAATTAACTTTAAAACTTCCAATCTAAAAGTGAATTTTGAGTCCAAAAGCCTATCAGCATCTATGGTGGCTAAACTTCTATTGGGCGATAATTGGTTAAAAACACTTAACCCTCGATTTTTTAGGGGTTTGTGTTGCTCAATGAATAGATTTGTAATTTTTGTTTTGTGCACTTGTTTGTCTTTTCATTGTTTTTGTCATTTTTAACCAAGGAATTTGTCAGGTTTTTTTTTTCCGACTTATAAATTAGGAATATCCCTTTGGTATCATCTGCCTGTTTTTTAAACAATATGGTTACATTCATTTAAATCAATCAGCCCAGAGGGTAATTCCAGAAATATGTTGTGGGTATTATTTTTTTTATCATAAGTTTAAATATTCCCTTACTGATGAATCATTATTTTCTTAATATGAGGAAAAATTATATTTTCCTGGATATTTGATTTCATGCCTTCATGCCTACAGCAAATAATCATTTGTTTGAATATTTTTAAAAATCTGTGATTCACAGAAATAAGTACCATGCATAATGATGTATACATTTTAATATATTGGAATCTAATGTCTTTTGAGTGATGTGTTTATTTTACTCATCATCATTAACATTTGGCTTTAAAGTACTGTAAATTCAGAAATTATTGCGAGGTTTTTATTATTGCGAAAAATGCGACAGAGTTGTAAACGCAATAATTTAAACACGCATTTTGAAATATTTCATATGAATTAAACAGGATTTTTCTCAAAATCGTAAAAATTAAAATCGCATTTAAGTCTAAAATGAAAAAATCGCAATAATAAATGCACGCAATAATTTCTGAATTTACAGTAGCTTTCAGTTAATGTCATTACTCTTCGATCCTTACTGTGTCGTCAGTCATTTTGTAAGTTGTATTTGTGCTTATTAGAATCTGATGGGTCAAGCCTTTTTTAACTAATTTTTTAAAGTACATTCTTATGTTGAGCTGTTACACAGCTACCCCATGTTAGGGAGTGGTTTAGCATCCGTAATCCAAACCTCTCTCTTAATAAGCCTGTCCCAAGCAAGGAGCCTGTAGTTCAGTGGTAGAAATCTTTCATAATTGCTTTTGTTGAATGTTATAACATTAAATCAGGCCGATAATTTTCTCTTGAAACTATTTCACATTTCGTTATCTCTCAGCCTTTTATAGCTGACTATACTGTATGGGTTGTGGTCAATGTTGTATGCCTCAAGGCTGGTAACGGTTGTGGTCAATGTTGTAGGCCTCAAGGCTGATAACGGTTGTGGTCAATGTTGTAAGCCTCAAGGCTGATAACGGTTGTGGTCGATGTTGTAGGCCTCAAGGCTGATAACGGTTGTGGTCAATGTTGTAGGCCTCAAGGCTGATAACAGTTGTGGTCAATATTGTAGGCCTCAAGGCTGATAACGGTTGTGGTCAGTGTTGTAGGCCTGAAGGCTGATAACGGTTGTGGTCAGTGTTGTAGGCCTCAAGGCTGATAACAGTTGTGGTCAATGCTGTAGGCCTGAAGGCTGATAACGGTTGTGGTCAGTGTTGTAGGCCTGAAGGCTGATAACGGTTGTGGTCAGTGTTGTAGGCCTGAAGGCTGATAACGGTTGTGGTCAGTGTTGTAGGCCTGAAGGCTGATAACGGTTGTGGTCAGTGTTGTAGGCCTGAAGGCTAATAATGGTTGTCTACATCCTTGTCCTTTGGTTTTTGGTGGATAGTTGTCTCATTGGCAATCATACCCTAGCTCTTTATTTGTATATGAACAAAGTTAGAAAATGGCCTCAAATGTACACATGGAAATTAACCAAAAGAGTTGACTGCTAAAAAAAAGTATCAGCAAAAATAAGTTGGTTTATAATAAAAGAAGATGTGGGTTCTACATTTATAATGACATCAAACAACAACAAAAAAAACAAAAGTTCTTACCTGAAGGCCACTTTTGTCCTGAATACACTTTGACCCTGTAAACCAGTACCTTGTCGTACAAACAAGTGATTAAAATCTCCCTGAATAGGCATAGTATGGACGTCAAATATTTCCTGGCCCAAATGTAATGACATGCTGAAATATAAAAAAAATGACCATCAAAATTAAAGGCTCATCTCTGAGTAGGGCATTGTATGGACAACAACAATGTCTGGCCCAAATGTAATGACATGCTGAAATATCAAAAAAATTGACCATCAAAATTAATGGCTCATCATCTCTGGGTCAGGCATTGTATGGACATCAACAATTTCTAGTCTCAAGGTGGATCATTGGTTTAGATTTCCTCATATAGAATTTTTTCCTACTGTGCCAGAATGTAGATTTTTCCATGTTTTTTTCATAAATATAATAGAAAGTATGGGTCCCCTTGCTATTTTTCAAGCTACAAGTCTTGCAAAATTGACCAAATTTGCATAGATTTTGCATGGAAAAACTCTTTTTTGTGAATAAAAATGTAAAAAGAAATCTATGAGATAGAATTTTGAAATAAAATATGTGAAGATTGGTTTATAATATGCTTTAAGAAAATAAAAATTAAAATGGTGTCACGAACTTGTTTTCTTGCTACAGGCAAATAATGAAAATTTCTTTAAAATTTCTCCTATTTGGGTTTAATGGCCAATTTGAAAAATTGATTCGAACAAACACAAATATTTGGCATTTGTTTAAACCCTCTAAATAGTACAACAAATCACTATTTTTTCTTTATTCGTTAAAATACATTGAAATTAACGTTATTTCATATGGGTTATATAGGGGAAACTTAATTTTTCCTTCTTGAGGAAACATTAAACGATACAATTGGCTAAGACTCAATGAGAATATTGTTTTTCATTAACAATTTTTGAATAACAATTAAAAATAGGGGTCATGTGCCTTATTTTTTTTAAAAATCCAAAAAACACAATTTTCCTATCAAATTCAGTATAATTATCTGCCCTTGATTTATAAAAAATTTTTCTGAAAATTTTAAATACACTTAACACTTAATATTTTGATAGTATAATCCTTGAATTTCAAGGTTTATATGTCTCTGTTGTATATTGAATGACACTTGGTAAAATATTTTTAAACTAAATAAAATGCTCCACTGGGGCGCAGCTTGATACGACCGCAGAGGTCGAACCCTGAACAGTTGGGGCAAGTATGGACACAACATTCAAGCTTGATACAGCACTGAATTTGGATTGTAATTAAATATTTGACACAGCATAGGTTTCTGACACAGAATGAAAGTGGTCTAAGAACTTAAAAAATTTTAATTTACCTATTCAAACCATATCATTATTATTTGCTTTTATATATAAATCAGAAATAACCAAATTAAAATGGAAAATTTTAAAGAAAAAAAAGGAAAAAAAAATCCCCCCCCAAATTTTTGAACCCCCTTATGATTCATCACCTCCAAACTCAATCCCAGCTTTCCCTTTGTGGTATGGTACCTTGCAGTACAATTTCAGAGAGATCCATACACTTGAACACAAGTTATTGTCTGGAAACTAGAAAAATGCTTGTTTTTTGGCCCCTTTTTTGCCCCAAATTCCTAAACATTTGGAGGCAATTACCCCAAACTCAAACCCAGCTTTCCCTTTGTGATATGGAACCTTGCAGTACAATTTCATAAAGATCCATACACTTACACACAAGTTATTGTCCTGAAACTAGAAAAATGCTGGGTTTTTTGCCCTTTTATGGCCCCTAATTACTAAAATTTGGAGGCAATTACCCCCAAAATCAATCCCAGCCTTCCCTTTGTGGTATGGTACCTTGCAGTACAATTTCAGAGAGATCCATACACTTGAACACAAGTTATTGTCTGGAAACAAGAAAAATGCTTATTTTTGGCCCCTTTTTGGCCCCTTATTCCTAAAATTTGGAGGCAATTACCCCCAAACTCAATTCCAGCTTTCCCTTTGTGATATGGAACCCTGTAGTACAATTTCATAAAGATCCATACACTTACACACAAGTTATTGTCATGAAACTAGAAAAATGCTTGTTTTTACCCCTTTTTGGCCCCTAATTCCTAAAATTTGGAGGCAATTACCACCAAAATCAATCCCAGCATTCCCTTTGTGATATGGAACCTTGTGATACAATGTCAGAGAGATCCATACACTTACACACAAGTTATTGCCATGAAACTAGAAAAATGCTTGTTTTTGCCCCTTTTTAGCCCCTAATTCCTAAAATTTGGAGGCAATTGCCCCCAAAATCAATCCCACCATTCCCTTTGTGATGTGGAACCTTGTGGTACAATGTCAGAGAGATCCATATTCTTACACACAAGTTATGTCTGGAAGTTACAAAAATGCTTATTTTTGGCCCCTTTTTAGCCCCTAATTCCTTAACTGTTGGTACCATAACCCCCAAAATCAATCCCCACCTTCCTTTTGTGGTATTGAACCTTATGGTAAAATTTCATTGAGATCCATTCACTTAAACTAAAGTTAGAGTGCGAAAACTAATGTGTCTTCGGACGACGACGACGCCAACGTCATACCAATATACGACCACAAAAATTTTTTTGCGATCGTATAAAAATTATATTTGCAACGTGCCAAGAAAGGATCCTCAGAAAAAGACACCTGGTCTACCTTAAATTTAAAAAGAATTGGTTAAACATTACTTTCTTACCTGCCGTCTGTCCATCGTACAATCCTGGCATTACTTTCTTTCTTCGGTGCACCTAATTCATCTAATACATCATTGCCATCTGCATCTTTTACTTTTCGCCATCGAATAGCATTCTCTACCTGAAAATTCAGGTCAAAATTATATTAAAGGATTTGATAACTTATTTTTTGTTATGACTTCAATATCTATAGAATAAAAAATAAAATGCTCCGCAGGGCGCAGCTTGATACGACCGCAGAGGTCGAACCCTGAACAGTTGGGGCAAGTATGGACACAACATTCAAGCTTGATACAGCTTTGCATTTGGATTGTGATTAAATATTTGACACAGCATAGGTTTCTGACACAGAATGAATGTGGTCTAAGAACTTAAAAATTTTAAATTGGACATTCACCTATTATGGTCCAATATCCAAAATCTAAATACATGGTTAGATTCAGCATATCAAAGAACCCCAAGAATTCAATTTTTGATGAAATCAAACAAAGTTTAATTTTGGACCCTTTTGACCTCAATGTGGACAAAGTTGATAACGGGGCCCAAAAATCAAAAATCTAAATACATGGTAAGATTCAGCATATCAAAGAACCCCATATATTCAATTTTTGTTGAAATCAAACAAAGTTTAATTTTGGACCCCGATTTGGACCAACTTAAAAACTGGGCCCATAATCAAAAATCTAAATACATGTTTAGATTCAGCATATCAAAGAACCCTAAGAATTCAATTTTTGTTAAAATCAAACTAAGTTTAATTTTGGACCCTTTGGACCTTAATGTAGACCAATTTGAAAACGGAACCAAAAATTAAGAATCTAAATACACGGTTAGATTCGGCATATCAAAGAACCCCAATAATTCAATTTTTGATGAAATCAAACAAAGTTTAATTTTGGACCCTTTGGACCTCAATGTGGACCAATTTAAAAACGGGGCCCAAAATCCAAAAACTAAATACACGGTTAGATTCAGCATATTAAAGAACCCCAAGAATTCAAGAATAAAACCCCATTGAAATTGGTCAAGAAATAAGCAATTTATACGAAGTATCTTCTTTTGCACAATACTGTGCAATTAAATATTTCTTGCTATTGCGCAATACTGTACAATTGACAATTTCTTGCTATTGCGCAATATTGTGCTATTGGATATTTCTTGCTATTGCGCAATACTGTGCGATTGAAGATTTCTTGCTATTGTGCAATACTGTGCAATTGAAGATTTCTTGCTATTGTGCAATACTGTGCAATTGAAAATTTCTTGCTATTGCACAATACTTATTATATAATAATTTACACATCCTGTTTGGTGTGTATCTCCTACCATATCATTATTATTTGCTTTTAAATATAAATCAGTTTTAAAAGAAAAAAAAAAGGAAAAAAAGAAAAAAAAGGAAAAAAAAAAAAATCCCCCCCCCCAAATTTTTTGAACCCCCTTATGATTCATCACCCCCAAACTCAATCCCAGCCTTCCCTTTGTGGTATGGTACCTTGCAGTACAATTTCAGAGAGATCCATACACTTGAACACAAGTTATTGTCTGGAAACTAGAAAAATGTGTTTTTTGGCCCCTTTTTGGTCCCAAATTCCTAAACGTTTAGGGCAATTACCCCCAAACTCAAACCCAGCTTTCCCTTTGTGATATGGAACCTTGTAGTACAATTTCAGAAAGATCCATACACGTACACACAAGTTATTGTCCTGACACTAGAAAAATGCTTGTTTTTTGCCCCTTTTTGGCCCCTAATTCCTAAAATATTGAGGCAATTACCCCCATCATCAATCCCAGCCTTCCCTTTGTGGTATGGTACCTTGCAGTACAATTTCAGAGAGATCCATACACTTGAACACAAGTTATTGTCTGGAAACTAGAAAAATGCTTATTTTTGGCCCCTTTTTGGCCCCCAATTCCTAAACGTTTCGGCAATTACCCCCAAACTCAATTCAAGTTTTCCCTATGTGATATGGAACCTTGTAGTACAATTTCAGAAAGATCCATTCACGTACACACAAGTTATTGTCATGAAACTAAAAAAATACTTGTTTATTGCCCCTTTTTTGGCCCCTAATTCCTATAATTTTGAGGCAATTACCCCCAAAATCAATCCCAACATTCCTTTTGTGATATGGAACCTTGTGGTACAATGTCAGAGAGATCCATACACTAACACACAAGTTATATCTGGAAGTTACAAAAATGCTTATTTTTGGCCCCTTTTTGACCCCTAATTCCTTTACTGTTGGTACCATAACCCCCAAAATCAATCCCAACCTTCCTTTTGTGGTATTGAACCTTGTGGTAAAATTTCATAGAGATCCATTCACTTAAACTAAAGTTAGAGTGCGAAAACCAATGTGTCTTTGGACGACGCCGGACGACGCCAGACGACGATGACAACGACGACGCCAACGTCATACCAATATACGACCACAAAAATTTTTTTGCGGTCGTATAAAAATTTAAAAAAAACATTTCTCTGGAGTTTTTCAGTTCAGATATAGCAACAATCATCTCTTTTTTTATCCTAGGAGAAGGTCTGGTAAGGACTTTTTTGGCCTACATCTGATGAAGGATTTTTGACATTTTTTAAACACTTAAGTGTCTTCTTCACTCGATTCAATTAGTTTATGCATAAGACTTGATCTCATTTGGTCTTTCAAGCTTAAATATAAAAATTCTATCAAATATGCAAAAAATCGTCACTTTTGAGATGTTTCTTGTCCAAGTTGGAACAGGCCGCATTCATGTTCAGTTTCAACCTTAAAATATGTCCTGTATCATCATCAAATGCAACATGTATTTAAATATTAAGACTGAACATAAGTGTGGCCACTTTCATTTCAGACTAAAAACGTCTAAAAATTAGCACAAATGCTATAATTGTGAAGATTTCAGTAATTTTTCATGAATTAATGATGCTAGTACCTGATGCATGTGAAGTGTAATGCCAATAAACTGCTTCGCTGAGCGCAGCTAAATACGCCCACAGAGGTCCAACCCTGAACAGTTGGGAAAAAAATGGACACAATATTCAAGCTTGATTCAGGTCTGAATTTGGATTGTAATTAAATATTTGACATATTATAGGTTTCTGAATAAACTTATTCAAAGAACTTGAAATTGGTTATATGAATTGAATTTACTGTGGATTCATTTATTTTCGTGGGTATCAATTTTCGTGGATTAATGAAAACTTGCATATTCGTGGATATTTGATTTCATGGTTTTGTCAATTTCTGTATGCAAAGCCTATTGAAAATATGTTATTCGTTGAACATTTGAATTCGTGGATCATCTGTACCCACGAAACCCACGAAAATTGGTATCCAACGAATAATGATGAATCCACAGTATATTCAATTAAAGATTTCTTGCTGTTGTGCAATACTTAGTAAATCTGTTGTCAGATTATAAACAAATAAAGTTCAATTAATTCTCAATGTCATATTAGAAATATATGAAAATATAAAGGGAGCTTACATCAATAGATATAAACAATTCACCAAAGTTTCATGAGAATTGGTGACAGCATTTTTGAGTTATTGTCCGAAAACTGGAAAATCACCCCTTTTTTTAATGAATAAAACCCCATAACTCAGAAATGTAAAATGTAAAATTTATAAAATTCTAATGGGAGCTTACATCAATACATACAAACAATTCACCAAAGTTTCATAAGAATTGCTGAAAGCATTTTTGAATTTTTGTCCGAAAACTGGAAAATCCCCCCTTTTTTTATGGATAAAACCCTGTAACTCAGAAACGTAAAATCTAAAATTTATAAAAATCGAAAGGGAGCTCATGTCAATAGATATAAACAATTTCTTGCAAGTTGGTGAAAGCATTCTCGACTTATTGTCCAAAAACTGGAAAATCCCCCTTTTTTTAATGAATAAAACCCCATAACTCGGAAACGTAAAATCTAAATTTTATAAAAAACGAAATGGAGCTCACGTCAATAGATATAAACAATTCATCAAAGTTTTATGCAAATTAGTTAAAGCATTTTTGATTTTGTTAATGTCCGACATGTTGACGACGGACAGACGGAAGGACGGACAGACGGACAACCGTACACCATAATACATCCTGTAAACGGGCGTATAAAAACAAGCCCATATTTATGTAACAAAAGTATTCTTCTTTCCAATAAACATGATAAATAGCTTAAAGTTTACATTTTTAACAAATTTTTGAAATGCTATATTTTTGCGCCAAAAGGGGTCTTACAGGGCCTTTAGACAGACCAATTTAAATTTCAATACTTAATTTGGATATACATGTACCAAAAAAACACATGTTTCATCCATCTAATCACTTGCATTTTGACAAAAGTAACTCATTTTAAATTACTGTAATAAAAAAATCAGAATTTCATCATTTCCATTAACAATTATTACTGATTAACATTGGGAATACTTTAAAAACATGATCTTTATTCTTTATCTGAATCAAAAGAAATGACCTGAGTAAACGATAACATTAATCCTCAGTCAGACCTAACAGTGAGCTTTGACATTGGTCCTAAGGAAGACCTAAGAGCAAGGTTAGACATTGGTCCTCATTCGGACTAAAGAAAGATTTTTTTCCCCCTTTAACCTTAACATTGGTTTTCAGTCAGAACAAAGTGACCTTATTTATTTACCTTCAGCTTCAACCTTGCTCGACCTTCTTCATCCAAAACTTCATCTTCGTCAATTTCATCTTCATATGATGTTGGATCATAAGGCCTATAACACACATATTATAATATTTTATAAGGCCTATAAATTTCTTACAATTTGGTATTTATTCATATACAAGAAGATCCAAGTTGGATATATTCCCAATCATTTTGATTTGTGTTAATTTGCTGTGAAAAACAAACTCCTCAGAAAAAATATGAAAAATAACTATCACAGGAAGCCTTGTAAGTTCAGAAATTATTGCGAGGTTTTTATTTATGTAAATAATGCAACTAGGTAAGTATTGTAATAATTAGAACTCGCATTCTGATATCTTTTACATATGGCTTTATGCAAATGTTCTTAATTTGTCCATTCTTCTAAAATCGCAATAATAAATGCACACAATAATTTCTGAATTTAAAGTAAACCAAGCAATTTTACATCCCTTCTTTTCCTGTTTACAACTTTAAGTAACCATGTCATCTCAAGTTTCCAAAATATTTTATAGGAACATGAAATAAAAAGAGAATGGTGCTTTAAAACACCCAAGAAACATATTTATGACTTAGAAAAAATAAATGAGGAATGTGTCCATGGGACACAGATGATGCCCCTGCTTGCATATCATATAAAGTTATAAAGGGACATAACTGAAGAACGGTAAAAGTGACGCTACCCAAATTTGTTATTGATCTGAGTTTTGTAGTAAACAGTATTGTGTATAAGTTTCATAACATTTGGTTGAGGCAAACTTAAGTTAGAGAACGGAAACGAAAAATTTTGTAAAGGGGTACAACTCTAGAACAGTAAAAGTGACGCCACCAAAAATCTAATTTGATCTGTATTTTGTGGTAATAAGCATTGTGTATAAGTTTCATAACATTTGGTTGAGGCAAACTTAAGTTAGAGAATGGAAACGAAAAATTCAGCAATTTTTCCATTTGTAAAGGGGCATAACTCTACAACCGTTTAAGTGACGCCACCAAAATTCACACTTGATCTGTGTTTTGTGGTAATAAGAATTGTGTATCAGTTTCATAACATTTGGTAGAGGCAAACTTAAGTTAGAAAATGGAAACCAACTTTGGGACGTACGGACGGACATACGTACGGACGGATAAGGGTAAAACTTAATACCCCCTCCGCTACGGCGGGGGCATAAAAACTGACCATAAAAAAATAGGACCCAGGGTTAATTTCCTACAACTGTCAAATTTAAGGTAATACCTTTTTTGGACCCTTTTTAGCATGAAACGTAGATGTGACATAATATGTTTTGGTGGTATTACACCTATAGTTCTGTCTAGATTGAAAATGATACAAGGGCATGGTACATGTATCTGTTTTCTACACTTAAGGAAAATTTTACATAATGCATAGTTCTTCTTAGATTTGTAATGATACAAGGGGCACATTACCTGGTTTCTACACTGAGGAAATTTGGAAGTTTAACATAATGTATAGTTTTGCCAAGATTTGTAATGATACGAGGGATCTCTACTTCTATAAGTGTTTCTTGTGGCTCTTCGATTTCTTCCTCTTCGTCAGAACCTCTCCCTCTCTGTAAAAATAATAACATCAAGAAATTGAAGTTATAATTTTAAACAAATTATTTTAATTTTTCTACATTTATTGACAAAGTTAACCATCTTTGATTTTGAATTTCTGTTCCCCCAAAATAAAAAGAAAAAAGTATAGACACCATAACCTAGCATTACAACATTGTCATGTTCAGGCAGATCTGGCTCAACACCCTATTTGGCATTCATTATAAAAAGTTATGTCATAATGAACATGTGTACACTAGCCTCGTGTGCATTCACAGAAAATAAAACACTCAGTTAATACACATGAAATATAGATCTTAATAATAAATCAGATTTCTTTCCGTCTTTTGGTCTTTAAAAAACTTTCGTCAAAATTTCATAAAATTCACTGAATGTTTGACCAAGTTATAGATAACAGAAACACTACACACTGAACCGAAACTTTGACAACGCCAATGACGATATAATCTAGGATGGCTACATGTATGTGTCGCTTTCATGATATAAATGTCATAGGCTCTACAAAAAGTAATGTCCGAGGGAAGGAAGGGAAATGTTATTTAGGGACATGGGTCATTTTCATATATATTTTTAATAGCTTTTCTATTTGATGTAGCCTAAATATGTTGATCCTAGGAGGATTTCTGAAGCCATTATCCCAGTCACCTGCTTCAGAACATACCTGATCATCTCTGTCACCTGCCTCAGACCGTTTTTCTTTGTCTTCTTCATCTGAACTGATATCGTCTGCATCTCCAAACAAGTTATCAACTGTAGCTACAAGTAGATAAGTAAACAATGTATTCTCAACTGAATTGTTTCATATTTTTCATGACAGGGCCTTTTATTACTGACTATACGGTATGGGTTTTCTCAATGTCAATGGCAGAAAAGTTGCATATAGTTGCTTACATCCACTTCATTTAAACTTTGGTGGATAGTTATCTAGTTATAGTTAAATAAAGAAGGATCCACTTTCTTTTACATATACACGATGATTTATATTTGTGTTATTTTTCTACTCGTGAAAGTCTCGAAAATAAATCACTCACGAAAATGAGTTGGTTTACAGTATTTTCTATGGCTATGAAAACAAGAGGAAATTTTTCAGCTCCAATCTCCTCAAAAGGCAACAGAAAAACTATAGGAAATTTGAGTTGATTCCTGATTTTGATTATATAATTAATATAACCAAGGGGCTTAACTCTTTCAGAATTTAATTAATCACTGCTATTAAGAAGCTTACAATACATTTATGAAAATGGTTCATTCAAACATTCAAGTGATCTTTAAGAGTTATATTCCTTTGTCTGTTTCAGTTGGAAGCTGTAACAAATCTTACCATCTACTCTCCCATTCTGATCTTCCTCGTCACTACCCATAATCCTCCTCTTCTTTCGTCTACCAATATCTGAATCACTTCCTGTCAACATAATAATGTCATAATTATTGACGTACAGTGGATTCATTTATTTTCATGGTTATTTATTTTCTTGCATTAAGGAAAAAGCATATTTTTATTGGATACTAATGATTTCCAGGTTTTCCTGAAGATTGCATACAAAGCAATAGATTTGTTCTTCCTTGAACATACTTCAAAATTTAGTTCAGCTTTTCCTGTGCATAATAATGAATACCCAGTACATGTATTTGTAATGAATACCCAGTACATGTATATGTAATGAATACCCAGTACATGTATTTGTAATGAATACCCAGTACATGTATATGTAATGAATACCCAGTACATGTATCTGTAATGAAAAGTGCATTCTTGTTTGTCTCTCGGGTTTAATCAAATTTTAGGAATTAAATATGAATATTTTTTCTCCCTTATTTTTGTGCTATTTTTACATTTCTTGATCGGTGTGAGAAAAATATTTCTCCTAACTAGTGAAATATCTGTTCTCGGCAAATGATTTGTCGAAATTTAATTATGACGTCAAATCTTCTGAATTTTCCTATTGTGACGTCATGAAAAAGGCGACCATATCTGATGATGTCACATATTAAGAACATATCTTTCTGAAAATCTTTGAAAAGGAAGGACAAAAAATCATTAGAGAAACAGATTCCACCACTATAACTCGTGTATTACGATATTTCTCTACTCTCAACAGTTAAATTTTAATTATTTAAAAAGCTCGGCAAGCCTTGCGCTTTAAATATTAACTTCAAAATTTAACTGTCTTGAGTGGAGAAATATGGTAACACACTTGTTGCAGTGGTGGAATCTATATGTTATTTTCAAACACGGGTTAAATATATGTCACTTCTCTTTGTTCTTACATTTTTATTTCAAAAGAAATAGCAAACCAACTAATTTTGATACGAAAAAATGTTGAAAAAAAATATTCCCTTATATGTGACAGTTGTAGGAAATTAACCCTGCATATATTTCATTGATAAATTTCTGGAAATGTTCATGGATAGGATGTTTAGAATGTTATTATCAATGCACTATATTTTGTGTATTTCAAAAGTAGTGATAAACCTTGGAAGATTTAGAAATCATCTCAGATTCTCAGTACCATAGGGTTTTTACCCAAAAATCACAAAAATTAATCACATTGAAGTCAACAGAAAGGGCTAAATGCCAAAATATTTAAAGTTGGTTTACAGTACACTAAGCTTAATGAGGTCAGAATAAACACTAGTTCTAATCTGATTGTTTAAGATTAGACCTAAATGTAGGTTGCAGCTCTGATAGACTTGTCTTTCACACTATTTCAAGATGGGTGGCCGAAACCTCTATATTATCCCCTGAGGGCACTCTATGGAGAGGACAAGCAATTTCTTTTAATCATCACAAGAACTGTACAAACAATACCTTGTCTTTTTATATAATAATCTAAGGTCAAATTAAAGCAGGGAAATAGGGTGGGTGAAAATGACAAAGTCCACTCGAGCTTTTAATATTATAAACCTTACTACAATATGCACTTTTAGGGCAGGTGTGCTTAATAGTATGCAAATTAAGATTTTCTGAAAAAACCAGAGTGCTATTTTTAGTAGTATGTTACTTCCAGAATGCCATGTGTCACTACAGGACTAAACATTGGTTGAAAATTGGCATGTAGAGAGTTAATACATGTATAATATGCATAATTCAGGATATAGTGTATGCATAACTTATGAAGTTATATTTAAGGTAAACAATTTAGAGAACTGTTAAAATTGAAAAGTTTGGTTGAATTTATGTATGTAGGGATTTGGAAGTGTGACACTTATAGTACACCATTGTATATTCATCTTTAAAATAAATACCTGATCCACTTTTTCTTGAACCTGATCGAGATCTTGACCTTGACCTAGGACTGCCTGCCTTTGACCTTGGACTGCCAGACTTTGATCTTGGACTTCTTGATCTTGACCTTGGACTGCCAGATCTTGATCTTGGACTTCCTGACCTTGATCTTGCGCTCCCAGATCTCGATCTTGGACTTCCTGACCTTGACCTTGCACTCCCAGATCTGGATCTTGGACTTCCTGATTTGGACCTTGGACTCCCTGATCTTGACCTTGGACTCCCTGATCTTGATCTTGGACTGCCAGATCTAGATTTTGGACTTCCAGATCTTGATTTAGGAGAACCAGATTTTGATCTTGGACTGCCTGATCTTGACCTTGGACTTTGAGAATGACTTTTGACTGAACCAGGGCTCCTTGATCTACTTTTTACTGACATAGGGCTTCCAGATTTAGGACTGCCAGAGCCACTCCTATGGGATCTTGGACTTCCAGAGCCACTCCTATGGGATCGTGGACTTCCAGAGCCACTCCTATGAGAATGTGGACTTCCAGAGCCACTCCTATGGGACCTTGGACTTCTAGACCCACTCCTATGGGAATGTGGACTTCCAGAGCCACTCCTATGGGACCCTGGACTTCTAGAGCCACTCCTGTGGGATCTGTGACTCCCAAGAGGACTGCCTACTGGTGTCCCTTGCAGGCTATGTTCTGATCCACTGTGTTGGGCTGGACTTCCAGGTGGACTCCCTGAATGTGCTGGACTACTTCCACCTGGGGTTCCTGGAACTGATCCATGACCACTTCCATCACTTTCTGAAAAAATAAAAAGACCATAAAGTTATACACTGTACAGCAACGTCCCTATGGAGTTCCAAGTAAACATCATATTGTCAAAATGCAGTAGAGGATGAGGTTCATTTCATATCGGAGTATCATATTTCATAACCACCCATAATATCAAACTTTCCTTTAGCTAAAATTTCTTATAGAATTCTAATTGAAGGAAAATGCAACCTTCCACAATTTAACAATAAACAATAAACTTGAGTGCTTCCCATTCCCCACCATGATCAATAGATCTAACTCAATGTTACTCGAAATACAACAAATTTACCCATCTTTCTATCATTTACACAATACTTTGGAGTAGATGTTATCTCCCCTTCATGGAAAGAAGAAAAGTTAATACTAATACAATAATCCACGCACAAATGCCAATTGACTTACCTTTACCCCTTAAACTGACATAACCACAAACTTTAACATTTTAACTAACCAAAAGTTTCAAATGGATTTGCGAATAAACATTTGTAAAGGTCCAACCCTGAACAGCTGGGGCAAAAATGGACACAATATTCGCGCTTGATACTGGTCTAAATTTTGATTGTAATTAAATATTTGACCCATAATAGGTATCTGACACAGAATAACTGTAGTCAGAGAACTTAGAATTGGTTATATGATTTGAATTTATATTCATTTTTTTGCTTTTGTGCAATACACTATGCTGTTGTGAATTGAACCCCACAAAAAAAATTTTTTTTAACCCCCCCCCCCCCAAAAAAAAAATTTGAGGAAATTTTCTTTTTAACTTCTGAAATCTGAAATGAGAAAAAATTGTCCCCCAATCACAATTTGTTTTTTACCCCCCCCCCCCCTAATTTTTTTTTTCACCTCCCTCCCCCCTTTTCCAAAAAAAAAATTCTTTCCCTCAAGATATGGTCATAATCTCAATACAAATTTCCAATGGAGTTTGCAACCACAATTACCCATTTAAATGCATCATAAAAGTCTTAAAATAGAAATGATATACATAATCATGGCTAAAATTAATATTCCTTAATCAGCATTTTTAAATAGTAACTTCTAAAAATAAATTGACAGCTTATCACCTCAAGACAATACAACATTTCTTTATACATAATTTAAAAGCAGTGTAAGGGAGGTAATCCAAACATAACATTGTACTTTTTATCTATTGTCCATTAACCAGGACACCCTTGTTTTTTCTCACTTTTTTGCCCCTAATACCTAAACAGTTAGAGCCATAACCCCAAAAGCCAATCCAAACCATCCCTTTTGAGGAATGGAAACTTGTGGTATAATTTCAGAGATATCCATACACTGTTCCACAAGTTATTGTCTGGAAACTAGAAAAATGCTTATTTGGGCCCCTTTTTGGTCCTTATTCCTAAACTGTTAGGACTATAACCCCCAAAATCAATCCCAACCTTCCGATTGTGGTTATAAACCTTGTGTATAAATTTCATAGATTTCAATTTACATTTACTTTAGTTATTGTCCGGGAACCAAATGTCTTCGGATGACACTCACGACGACGTGATACCAATATACGACCATGGTCGTATAAAAAGACATTTAAATTGCAACCCATTGGTAGCCGAGAGGTTTCGTCAATGTGTTGATGTCAGTCAGGCATAACAGATTTCAAGGAGGGGTTCTATTCCTAGTGAAGGCATATACAAATTACAAAAAATAAAGGAAAGTTTTTAAATTAAATCCATTAGTGAACAGAAATCAGTAAATTGACCAATTCAAACTTAATGAAATTAAGCGCACAAAGGAAACAATTGAATATAATTTGATTAGTCAATTTAAGTGACAGATTTAGGAAGCGTTGATTCTAGAAAAAGAATCCACAGTAAATGAATAGGCTGACGTCATGGTAATGGTTTAACCATGGAAATGAGATGTCCCTATGATAATACAACTGCATACCAAATATCATTGACAAACTATAAATGGTTCCCCTTAAACTGACCTAATTATAAACTTTAACAAATTGTTGAGGCTGTCAACACCACAGCATGTCTGTGTTTTGCCTCTGGGACTTGGTAAAATAAATCAAAAATTGATAAAAAATATTGGGAATTATCAGAAATTGAGGACAATAGAAAGAAAGATATTGAAATTGTGGTAGACTGTAGGTTTTACAGTAATTGTGTATATTTTTATATTTAGTTTATGGTATTATATTTTGTTTATTATCTGACTTATATTGATTAATTAAAAGGTATGAGTATATTAATTACAGATTGTAATTAATTGATTAGTATATTTATTTTCATAGTTCATTTCATTTGCCTATTTGACAGTTGGACTTATTGACAGACGACATTTTCTACTGGTTTGGGTAACTTTGGTTTCACTGTATTTTACTTCAAAGATTTTCTTTTCATGGTTCATTGGACCGTACACTTTCTTTATTTCTATTGGTTATTATGTTTTGGCGCTATATTTCTTTTGTTCTATATACTGGCTATCACTTTTTGATATAATGGTGGACATAGACATATGTGTTTGATATAATTCTAAGTTTGAGTAATATTCTTTCTTAGTGTTCTATATTCTATATACAGATCAGTTATCTTTCTCTATTACTAATTATACGTTAATAGTCCAGATATTTATTATTTTACCTAGAATGAATATTTAGAATGAAAGGCCGATGCGTAAATGTTGAATGCGAGATGAATGCTTTAAAATGATATAAAATAGATAAAGTACAGTGAAGTATTATCTGTTTGATTAAATGGTTTAAGAGACGTAATTTTTATATTTTCATAAATAAAGTACTTTTAACTAATTTGGTAAAGAATTAATTTAATACACATTGTATGAGAATTCGAGTGTTCCGGTACGAATGCTTTAAATACTTTTAAAGGTAAAGACATAAACGTAATAAAAGTTATGTGGTATTGATTGATTATTTTAACTAAGAGTACATATCGTAAACAGGTGGATTATTACAGTAAAACATGGATTACAATTTGTTTATTTGTTATACAGGTATATTTTTAAGTAATCCTGGGAATGTGATTTAATTCCAATTAGATAATTCAGGAGGCCTTTGCACCTCATGCTGGGTAAGCTAAGTGTTATTTTTGTAATGTTCGTATTTTTGTTTGTTGCTATTTTATGCTTACGGCATTTATACAGCATGCAGCTTTTGCTTTTAGTTTTGTTAATTTGCTTATGTTAAAGTTTGTGTTAACCGCTTTTGTCATTTTTCGTATATTAGACTTGTTTATATAATATGAGTCGTTAAGTGCATATGGACTAAACTTTGTCAGATACGCTCAACAATATAAGCATATTGTTGAAAATACATGCAGAACAGATTTATTTCTATTTCTATTAGTAAAACATTTGTTTATCACATTACATGGATAGAAACATATGTACCAGATTATTTATTCGATAAACGGTCAGAATCTTACTATTGTATTTATTTTGTAGGGTATTTATTTAGTTATTGTTATTATCCTGATTTTGTCAAGAAATAAAACGAATCCACCTCAGAAGAAAGTATTGTGTTTTATTAGCCCTAGAAAGTGCTATTACATAATTTGGCGCCCACGAAGATTTATTTCTGTGACAATGTTGATATATCTACGATTGGAATTCTTGGATTGAAGAAACCGTACGGTGAAAGTTGTTCGAACGCACCCGACCTAGTTATTGGCCAACGTCCGGTTCATATGAACGAAAAAAAGGTAAACAGAAATCGACATGTGATTGGAATTCTGAAACAAATTTTCTTGATTTATACTGATATTGTAAGTTGAATTAATATGTTTATATGAATTGAATATGTGTTTATTACATTAAGTGCTATTACATAATTAAATTAAAGGTGGTTGGGAAAAAACTGGAAAAGAGAATTACATGGTTGGAGACTGCCGTTATTGCTTTCATAAAATTGTAAACATCTCTGCAACAACTTAAATTTTTTCCAGAATATTTTTCTCAAGTGTCCATGAACATGGCGAATTCCGTGTCCTTATACAGCTATTAAAATTAGAATAGGTTAACCATGTTAACGATTGGTAAGTAGAAACACATATTTTTTTGTTTGCTAGAAAAAATTTACTCAAGAAAAATTTCAAAAGGTAAACTGGTTAAGTTGAAACAATATTTTATTTCACCAAATTAGGGCCACAGGATGGCATATAGCACAAAAACAATAACATAGGCAATGCTATCTTGACAATAGACATGTAATAATAAACAACAATATATTATAATTTAATTAATATTATGTTGATATTGACTCCAGTGCACCAGGTAAGTGTCTTTTGACTATTACACGTTACATGTAAATTAACAGAAGGCTTAAGTAGTTTGTGCCTTATGGAGAATAAAAACTTCATCCAATCCAATTGCCAAAAATTCAACTACAATGAACAGTCCTATCCATATCCAAATAAGTGTTCGGTGTAATTGTAAATTGTGTAGCGAAAAATTCCAAATGGTTCAAGATAATTTCTTGTAATTACTAACAAACAATAATCAACCCAAAAAACCTATGTATGCAGGTCGACTTGATCTTGATATGGTATGATGACACGTCTGATATTATACCCTGGTAGGAATTTGAAATTTGTCTTCATCTTTTTCAGTTTTTTGTGGAATTAGTTTTTCTACAATACATGTGATAGGTACATTTAAACTTTCATCACGAAGCCTACTGATTTTGTCGTCATAATTTGGAGTAGTAATTTCAGAGTTAATCATTTAAAATGTATATGTATAACAGACTATACCATTTCCACTTTCATCACTGCCAAACAATTCTCTGCTTTCCGCCATGCTGTTTGGCTAATTTTAGAAACGATGTCGGACAGGATACGATTATAAGACAAATCGGCATCTGTTTATTTCGGCACTTCTTTTTCTTTATACTATCAAACAGACTGTTGGATAATTACTGTTGCATGCATGGTTTATTTATATAAATTAATCAATTGAAAGTAATATAGAGAAAGTAAGTGCTATATGTATGGTGGCAAACCATTCACTTTTAATCTTTTTTATCAGGACTAGCTATTGATTTAAAAAAAACATACATACAATCCTTCTCACTATACAAATCCTTGATATAACGTACACACACACACATGTAAGAAGTATAATTTTGTACAATTGAATCAGTATAAAAGCCACGACTGTATATACAATTTTCAAAATGACATTCATGGGGAAAATCAACATTTGTGTCTTTCGTGTTTTATTTATTTTATTTTGTGTGTGCGTGTGTCTTAAGTTGTATCGATCTGATGAGGTAAGCCCTGTTTAACTGATTTTTATACGACCGCAAAAATATTTTTGTGGTCGTATATTGGTATGACGTTGGCGTCGTCGTCGTCGTCGTTGTCGTCTGGCGTCGTCCGGCGTCGTCCGAAGACACATTGGTTTTCGCACTCTAACTTTAGTTTAAGTGCATGGATCTCTATGAAATTTTACCACAAGGTTCAATACCACAAAAGGAAGGTTGGGATTGATTTTTGGGGTTATGGTACCAACAGTAAAGGAATTAGGGGCCGAAAAGGGGCCAAAAATAAGCATTTTTGTAACTTCCAGATATAACTAGTGTGTTAGTGTATGGATCTTTCTGAAATTGTACTACAAGGTTCCATATCACAAAGGGAAAGCTGGAATTGAGTTTGGGGGTAATTGCCGAAACGTTTAGGAATTGGGGGCCAAAAAGGGGCCAAAAATAAGCATTTTTCTAGTTTCCAGACAATAACTTGTGTTCAAGTGTATGGATCTCTCTGAAATTGTACTGCAAGGTACCATACCACAAAGGGAAAGCTGGAATTGATGATGGGGGTAATTGCCTCAATATATTAGGAATTAGGGGCCAAAAAGGGGCAAAAAACAAGCATTTTTCTAGTTTCAGGACAATAACTTGTGTGTAAGTGTATGGATCTCTCTGAAATTGTACTGCAAGGTACCATACCACAAAGGGAAGGCTGGGATTGATGATGGGGGTAATTGCCTCAATATTTTAGGAATTTGGGGCCAAAAAACACATTTTTCTAGTTTCCAGACAATAACTTGTGTTCAAGTGTATGGATCTCTCTGAAATTGTACTGCAAGGTACCATACCACAAAGGGAAGGCTGGGATTGAGTTTGGGGGTGATGAATCATAAGGGGGTTCAAAAAATTTGGGGGGGGGGATTTTTTTTTTCATTTTTTTTTCTTTTTTTCCTTGTTTTTTCTTTTAAAAAAAAAATAATTCTGTGTTTTACAAATGACATGTTTTAAAATATTATTGTATTGACATAGTACATGTCGTACATGCTGTAAGTTGTACCCGATTCGATCTATATATGTCATATTGCACAACCAATACTGGTTTAAATGCAACGGGGTGAAGGCATATTTAAGCTCCCCGCGCTAATTTCAAACACAACAGTGTCCTCTATATGATTCTAGTCTATTATTGTAGACACAGAGAATGAGCCGGAATGTTGTTGTGTTCTACTGGTGGGAATCTAGTTCCTTAACTGTATCAAAACACTTATCGTTAACTTCTGTAATAAAGCTTATGAAAATAATTGAATAAACTATCTTTGTAGTGTAAAAAATTCTGTCCCTCTGGTATCTTTCGTCCCTCTTTTTTAGATAAAATACGAGCATTTGTCGGTCCGTTTCTTTCGGTTGATTATTTCGGCTATTCAATTCTTCACACTACACTTCCACATGTTTCACACAATCTTATCAAACGAACGTTTTCCCATTTAATCAAAATAAATGGTCGTTTGAAAATTCTGATTACAAATTTATTTCACATAAAGCCGTCTTCTCTAATGATAAAGTAGATATTCTAGATATACTTACTGGAGGTGTGACGAGACGATTAAAGCTGTACATTTTCTCCTTAACAACATTAATTTACGTTGCGGCAATACAGTTTATTGACAGGTTGTAGGTAGTCTTATGAGCACCAATATATTCCGTCCCTTTGTTACAGACAAATTGTAAACAAGCATATCACTGCCACTACCCAGCTTAAAGCCTCTTCCGAACATTTGAAAGTCCATACTGTGTACTGGTTACCTAAATTGCACAAAAAACCATTTAAATTCCGTTTCATCTCCGCATCTAGTAAGTGTTCTACTACTAATCTATCAGTGCTTCTAACTACCTCCCTTACTACTATCATTCAAAGAACTTGTTATTAACTTTTGTAATAAAGCTTAGGAAAATAATGGTATTGATTATTTTTGGAGTGTTAAAAATTCTTTAGAGGTTTTGGATAAAATATGTGCTTTTGATGGTCCTTTTAATTCTGTTGACAGTTATGATTTTTCTACCCTCTACACTACACTTCCACACAATCTTATCAAGAAAAAGTTTTCATATTTAATCGAATGGTCTTTTGAGAAATCTCGTTGCAAATTTATTTGCTGTAACTCGTTTAAAGCATTTTTCTGTAACGAAAAAGGAAAGAATGCTAGATACACTTACTGGAAATGTGAAGATATGATTGAAGCTTTAAATTTTCTCCTGGACAACATATATGTACGTTATATTTATCGGCGATAAAGTGTATCGACAAGTAGTAGATATTCCTATGAGCACTAACTGCGCCCCTTTAATAGCAGATTTATTCCTGTATTGCTATGAATCTCAGTTTATGACCAAACTCAGTAAAGACACGTCATTTTTACATCCAACAATACCTACCGTTATCTGGATGATATTTTTTCGTTAAATAATCCAGTGTTCTCTAAATATACTACCGAAATTTACCCAAAAAAAACTTACTTTAACTAAATCTAACATAAACAGCAGTTGTTGTCCTTTTCTAGATTTAGACATTTCAATTTCTAAAGGGAAACTCCATACTAAAATTTACAACAAAAGAGAAGATTTTTCATTTCCTATTGTTAATTTTCCTTTTTTAGACGGCGATGTTCCTACGGTGTTTATATATCTCAACTCGTTCGTTATGCCCGTGTGTGTAGTGATGTCATAGATTTTAACGAACGTATTCAATGCATCACTGGTAAATTATTAAGTCAGGGATTTCGTTACCATAAATTACTTAAAACTTTTACTAAATTCTTTCATAGATACAAAGATTTGATTAGTAAATTTGGCTGTACCTGTAGTAAACTTATTAAAAACGGTATTTCACATCCTAAATTTACGGTAATATTGTACTAACAGCGCGGAAATCACTATGTGATCCGTGTAAACTCATCGAACCTTTAAACAAACTTATTGGATTGTGCCTGATATTCATATGATGAAGACATAATCTTTCAACCAGTTTAATTGAGGTCTGGAGCTGGCATGTCAGTAACTGCTAGTAGTCTGTTGTTATTTATGTATTATTGTCATTTTGTTTATTTTCTTTTGTTTCCTATTCTGACATCGGACTCGGACTTCTCTTAAACTGAGTTTTACTGTGCATACTGTTGTACGTTTGTTTTTTCTACATTGGCTAGAGGTATAGGGGAGGGTTGAGATCTCAAAAAACATGTTTAACCCCGCCGCATTTTTGCGCCTGTCCCAAGTCAGGAGCCTCTGGCCTTTGTTAGTCTTGTATCATTTTTAATTTTAGTTTCTTGTGTATAATTTGGAGTTTAGTATGACGTCCATTATCACTGAACTAGTATACATATTTGTTTAGGGGTCAGCTGAAGGACGCCTCCGGGTGCGGGAGTTTCTCGCTGCATTGAAGACCCATTGGTGGTCTTCGGCTGTTGTCTGCTCTGTGGTCGGGTTGTTGTCTCTTTGACACATTCCCCATTTCCATTCTCAATTTTATTATTAGGAAAGGTTATCTTACCAGTGTTGTAATTAGATCTTTGAATATAGTTTACATTGGCACTAATATCGATTTTGTCATCAGCAAATTAAAACATAACTAAATTTGTATTCTTTTCAAACGGGATGTATAAAGACACACCCACGTTCAGTTTTATCTATTAAGTGGTTAACTCCTGTGGATACATTTATTTTTGGCATTGCACAAGTCATGTCTTCTTTGACTGTCCATGACGTTAAAATACTAAATCCCTGGGATGTGTTTAGTTGATTTTAGTCTCTGATGCATGCATTTTTATTATTAATTGTTTTTGGCTTTTAACTAGATGTCAGTAACTGCGAGTACCCTCAAATCGTACTTTCTTTTTAATTTGACCTGTTGATACTATTTGTAATTGCTTTTTTGTTATTTAATGTTTACTTATTCAGGGTTATATCTGGTCTATATACCAGCTTTGATAAGTGTTTGGTATTACTATAAATTTTCACTTTTTCAAACTATGAACATCAAAATTATTTATTTTGTAAATATATTTCCTTTCTCTTTTTAAACTGTGTACCTAACAACAAAATTATTTTCATTTACCTGTGTATAATATTATTGTAAATGGCGGATTTTTGTTTAAGGTTATTGTTGTTTTTATGAAATTGTTTAACATTTCACAGCGGTATAATACTATTACTTTAATAATCATCCCTTATTTTATTGATTTTGTATTTACATTGTATCATAGATCAAATGTATTCGTTCAGTCTATGTTCACTTGTATTAATATGTCTTTTGATTGAGTTAAGCCATTTCAATTGTTTCTCGTTTCTCGTTTTTTATATAGATTAGACCGTTGGTTTTCCCGTTTGAATGGTTTTACACTAGTAATTTTTGGGGCCCTTTATAGCTTGCTGTGCGGTATTTTGTCATGTTTATTTTTTCATAACATTTTATGAAGTTGTATTGAACATTATCATTATACTTGACTTTTATACTAATGTATGCCATATGTATATATTTGCATAGTCTTATGAGCACCATTTTTTTCCGTCAC